ATCTGAAGGCACTAACCAGTTCATACAAACAATGAAGAAAACAAAATCTGAATTACAAAGGTAACAATATATCTGAGGTATGCACTTTGTTTTATTATAAGCACCACCTGATTTTGTCTTAGGGATTGAATAAAGAGATCGATTGTAATTTTAATGCTCGTGCCCACTTGCTTACGAGCTCTTGGATTTCATTTCCTAACAAGGCCTCCTTCTGAATCTATCTGATTGATATCCAGACTATTAACATTTTAATGTTATCTTTCCACCAGCTTCATGAAAATAAAGGGAGTTATCCATAGGAGACACTTGACTATGATCTTCCGGAGCGATTCCAGTTATATCCACCAGTAAGAAGTTTCACATGTAAGGAAAATCCCTTCTACTGCAGTACCCATTTACTTGTCTTACGTAATATACGAGAATTTGGTTTTTCTGTCTTCGAGTACTGCCATAAACAAGCAAAAATGTTTTATAGCTTCAGTTCTTATTGGTGAAATTAATCCTAAAAAATATCTATTCAACTCAAAGTTCCTTGCTAAATCCCTTTTTATACGGTAGGAGAAATAGATGCAAGGGAATGTGGTTCGCAGGCTCATCATATTATGCCATTCCACATTATTCACACTGACGTAATTATGGGAATGATGTTATAGCATCAATACGTATGTCAACCTCAAGTAATCGAGCAATTTAACAAGTCAATAAGACTATATTTCATCATCCCCAAATTAGCGACAGTTTTGGCTTTGCTCTACTGAGATTGACATAACTTGGCAGAAGAAACACAGGATCTGAATCCACATTTTGCACATAAAGGATAAAACTAGACACAAAGCCTATCCAGGACTTGCCTTGCAAATATATTGTGTCTGAAGTCCATCATGGTTAAAAGTAAGCATACAAGGATGGCTGAGCACAAAGCACAGTGAGGCATGTCCTGGGCTTCTTTTTAGTGTTAAGGAGCTTCAACAAATCCCAGAGAGAGTGCGAAGCATAGAAAAATCATGCGTTAATAAAATCCACTTTTTGCCCTTTTCATTGGAAACACCAATTTTGGTTTAGGTTGTTATCTAGTGTCAATATATTTGTTTCAGTAATATGATTAGTTGCTCAAATACAAATAAAATCTTAATCCCTGATTAATTAATTGCTGATTTGTTCAATGCAAGGCTGAAATTAACTGAAACTGCAGCAATTTCTGAAGTTTTTTATACATATTATTCATCTATGGAGATTTTCATTTATTAATTATCATATAGTCTGCACTTGGCATCAAAAAAGGGAGCAATTAGCTTTGTGCTTAAGCCACAAGATGCCTTGAATGTTGGTTCTCTTTGTGCATTCACTAACAATGTTAGAGTCAGATTTTGTGCATAATACTTTCTATATCTTAAGTTTCCCTATTACTTCCTATATCTTAAGTTTCCCTATTTCTTGTATCCCTTACCTTACTTTAATTTGATTATAGTATAAGGTATATGAGAGATATTTCATTTAGTGTATTTATTTATCATATATAGTTGAACTAGTTGAGCGTTTACCAATGGCAATCAGAATAGGAATGATGAAATGGACTGTTACCAGAGAGTTGGAATTGGAAGTTCATGGTTGCAAAACCCCATCCACAACCACCAACAAAATCTCTTGGATTATCTCGTGCAACAAGTGAGAATATAAGTGGGAGGATAACAGTCTATACAGAGTTTAGAGTAACTTGAGAAAAAAGCATGTGGTTTTGTTTTTAATACAAAAAATAGGAAATATTCTAAACCTTGATACAAGTAGACAAACTGACACTACAAAAATCATTCAACTACATGCCCTCAACAGTCACAAGGGAGAAAAAGAACAAGTCACCTGTTTCAAATGGTCAACTATTGCAACCTGAGCAGACCTTGGATCAAAATATTCATTCTTATCAATCTCATTAAATGATGTTACTAGAACCTGCAAACGCCATTACATAAAATAGCATACTATCAAGACAGTGATGTCCAATTCTCCTTGTGGCAGCATAGCATTCAGTCCATTGCTGTAAAATTTAAAAAGAATACATTTGGATAATTTCGAATTCTGATTCCAAGCAATAAACTCGACATTGTCCGGTGTAACACCTACCCTACAACAAATAATATAAAAAAATTCATTTTATGGCAGTTTCCATTGTAATACTACTCTAAAGTCCATTTCCTGCCACTATCATCAGGCAATTACACTACTCTAAATCCCATTTCCTGATCCAGCTCTCTCCAGGCAATAGTGGCATAAAAACTAACTTATGTGCCTGATAAAATTTTTGTACCAATTATCTACATAATCGAAACTTTAACAAATGACAACAAGCAAAGAGAAAATGATAGCGCTTGCATTACCTCACCGCTTCTGTCGGGAAATTCGAGGCATATCATGTGCGATTTATTGTACAGTGGAAACGCCTCTGCCGCAGCAATCCTATACACCCTCTCGTCCTTCAAAACTTCTTTAACATCTGCACAATGTGGATTCATTTCAATTCCATATAAATGCATAAACATATTTATTTATTCGTGAGAAAAGTGTGGCGACCTTTGGCGACGTATTGAATTTCACCAACGGGAGAATTGAGGAGGAACCATTTGGCAATTTCTATTTTCTCCTTGTCAGTAAGCTGTGATTCTTCCTCATCTGACATTTTTGAGATCCCAAATTGGCAAACTCTATTGGAAATTTCTAGTAATATATAATTTCTCCGTCGCTTATATTTAGGGCAGCGGGCTTAATTTTCTGATTGGTGGGGACGTTTTGGGAAAATATTAGAAAATTTTGATCCGTGGTCACTGAACTCTCAGATAAATTTCAATTTGATTGCTAAAATTTAATTTCTCTCAATTAGAACATGAAAATTCAGTTTAGTTTATAATTTCTCCATTTCATCACATTCCGTCACCTATTGTCCTCCAAACTGACACAGATTATTTAGTTGACAATCATATCATAACTAATCATCTACATGGTTGAAATGTAGAACTCTATAATAAAAAATGATAAAGGAGAGTTAATTAACGTCTTTAAATTAAATGATTAAAATATATGTTTCTTTTTGTTAATCAATTTTATGAAGTTACACTAGTACTGAGTTATGTAATGAGTCGGTAGAATATTGCAGTATAAGGAATTAAGCATTTTTTTTTTCAATTTGATATATGACATTGACATGTGATGAAGTTGAATAATTATAGCTTCACATGGCATGTACAGACCAGAAATCTTGTACAGTCCTATGAAACAGTGGCCTGTACAATCAGTTTAGTTCAATGAAGTTTTGAAATCTGACATTTAAAGTTCAATAGCCCTCACTTGAAACAAAATTGAAGGTTAGTGGTGCAATTGAGAAAAATTAATATTTACTAACCCAATAGAATTTTCGTTGAAATTTAATTGCTGCTGATGAAATTTACCCAAAATATTTTGAGTTTTGAACTAGGCTAGACCACTATTTGGAAAGGTAAAAATTTTTAAAATTTAAATTTAATATTTTTTACCTGTCATTTCCACTGGAATTCCTAGCAAATTTTTTTTTCTCATTTTGTTAAAATGAAAATTACCTTCATTGAATATGATCGTTCAGTCATGCATAGTAATTATAGAATTTTTTATAAAGTTGTCATCTAAGCAATTTAGGAAATTAACAAGAGAGATTAGGGCATGTAATGATTTTGAGAATTAATTTTTTGGCCATTAAAGAAAAATGTGGGTTTCATCTGTAAGTGAAAAAAATTAAAAATGACGACTAATTTAGGAAAGAGACGATCAAAAAATTAATTTTTTAGGTAAAAAATTAGAACCAAACAAGAGCTAGATTGTCTAAAAATACTAAAACTCCCAACATTTGTTTACTTTGACAAGAATGCGTAGATAATTCAATATTTATGCCAAAAGAAAAAAATAATGTCTAAAAAATGAATTAAAAGCCTGTTTGTTGCACATTTTTTCCTCCATTTTAGAAAAAATATAGTCGTTTATGGAGCCCACTTGCCATAAATGATTTGACTCTCTTCTCACATTTTGCTGTGAGAAATGTGCCCAACGGTAAGAATTCTCATTCTCATCTTTGATAAAATGTGCAACAAACAGCCCCTAAATATATTTGTCAACCTTAGCTATTTTGATGAGAACGTTAAGATGATTCAAAATCTATATAAAAATAAAAGAACGTTGTCCAAATGAACTAAATATATTTGTCAACCTTAGCTATTTTGATGAGAACGTTAAGATGATTCAAAATCTATATAAAAATAAAAGAACGTTGTCCAAATGAACTAAATATATTTGTCAACTTTACCTAATTTGATGAGAATGTTAAGATGGTTCAAAATCTGTTAAAAAATAAAGCATGAATTTGATAAAACATTGATTTTTCCTCCAAAAAATTACTTTTTTGACCGTTATTTTACTATTTCAGCCGTCATATTTGACTTCTTCTCTCACAGGTAGACCCCACTTTTCTCTTAACGGTCAAAAAAATAATTCTCAAAATTACTCACAAACAGACTCTATGTGGAGAATAGAGCCAAAAAAAAATTTAGAATATAAGATCGTTCACACCCAATGGAATCTTTAGAAGGGAGATTGTAGTCTAGTTATATTTATCCCTTTTCGTCAAATTTGGTTACTCTTGGTCATTTAACAGATTGGCTATCGCTGACAAATTGAACTCGCCTTTCTTTTTCTTTTTCATGTTGAAAGTTATTTTAAAGGAAAAATAATAATTTTTTTCCGTTCTTGATTGATGTGTTGATTAAAATACACAAAGTTGACTTTTAATCGAAAGTAACAAGTGTACTAAGAGTTGACTTTTAACTTGGATGTCTGATTTCATAGGTTTGAGCACGCCCTTGTAAACTTACCAAGTCCTTACTAGGAAGGATAAATAGATGTAAACTCTTAATAATTTTCTTGTCTCACACACTGCATTCTTCGCTATGATTCACCTATACATTGCCTCACCAATACTTCGAAAATATTTGAAATATTTCACATTTCTATATAACGCAAGAATTGCAAAAACTTTTATGACACGTTTAGTACGTAGTACCACCAATTGAAAGACTGCAGAAAGTAATTTTGTGAAGCTGTAAATGGAAAACACGCACAAAAGGAACTCAATTAAACCGACGTTTTTGTCACATTGCTGAAGCAAAAACTGAGTTAGGAGGGAAGTCTCCAGACATTGACTTCCAGAAGTTGTTCCATGCTTTCAAAGCCCTAACACCTTGAATACTTGCAAAATTTTCATTTTCAAGATTAATAAATAAGCCTCTAGCTGCAAATCCCACTGATTCTGTCGAATCCATATAACCCCTTATCCTCGAAACTATTCCACCACCAGAGAAGCCAACTCTGAAGTACCGATTCTGAGAATCGCTTACTTGTTGAAAGGTTTGAGCTACTTCGGGTTCCATAGGAGGATACCGTTTTGTTGAGGAAGTATCTTCAATACTTAGATGATTTTCCATTCCGAGTGATTCCCAATCAACTTGATGTAGAGACCTAGCTGCTAGTTCAGCCACAGGCACGGGATATTCTTGCAATTGCACTGCTTGTTCAACAGCTAGTCTATCAAGTTGCAGTTTTAGTTTTTGAAGACGGTCGCCAATTCTAGCAGACACAGCATCATAGAGTTTGCCTCTTGAAACATTTTGGCTCTCTTCATCGTAGAGTAAATCATCGAAATTAATGGGATCGCCTATTAGTACAGTCACCTGCAATTTATCAATAGATTTGTCTTTTACTACTAGAAAGGTTATAAAAGATACTTGGAATCAAAAACCGCAGAATGTTGAAAAGTGATGATGCTGGAAATAGAATGAAAAAATAAATGCTCGTGATGCACACTGAAATAACAAGCCGAAGTCGGAATAGAGTACATACCGTCTTGCCAACCTTAGGAAACTTGGATCCAACTGGCATGACCTCTTGCATTCCTGTATGCACAAATGGGACAACTATTGGTACATTATCAGCATCCAAGACCAACCTGTGGAATAAACACAGGAGATATACTTAAATTTCCAAACTGAAAACACAAGAAAAATGAAGGGCACAACAACAAAAAAGGCAGTATTATAATTAAATAATCTGAAAGAATGAACATAGGATCTGACATTGTTCCACTAATATTTAAATATTTGAGAACATTATTAACAGAGAGAAGAACAGTACAACATTATTCAGGGCTTTTAATCATTGGTAATTCACAAGCTTTCATTTCAAATGATTAACGCATTTATGGAGAGACCAATGATATGTTTAACAAGAAACCTAGAATTTTTTTCAAGAGAATTTTTTATTTTTATTTATTTATTATTATTATTATTTTTTTTAAGTAACATAACCTAAATAATTGGGTTTATATCTCTACATGAATATGGTTGTTAAATAAAATTTTTAAAATTGTTCACACGTTCAAATCAACCAGATGATAAACTAACAGGAATATTTTAAACAGAACAATGGCAAGTACTTTATTACCAAGACTTGCAGACAATTACATGCCAATTATGGGAAATGGAACCTTCAATGCTTATAGGTATTATTTCAATCCTTAAGAAGGGATATTTTATTATACACGCACAACCACATATATAAATCCATATAATTATTTTGGCTAATGAAACTACATATGAACTGACAGTGTTCATTGAACATGTCCTCTAAGTGGTTGCTGAAGGCACCCCTATCCAATGCCAGCAACTTCAAATGCTTCCCCAGTCCAGATCCTCAAGGCACGTTCCCGTAATCCATTTCACCCCAAGCAACGCAACTGTTCTTTTCTTCTTTGACTAATAACCTTTCTTGTATTGGGTTGGTTATCTTATTTAATATAGCTAATCACTAATACCAGCTGACGTAATTCAAAGGGCAGAAGATAAGGACAGTCAAATAAGTAGGCAATGCCTCGAAGATTGAAATATGATATCTTACCTCCCAATACCTCTCTTTGCAGATCCGATGGTTTTTCCACCATCTCGAGACCGACTGCCTTCTGGAAAAATGTGAACCCAGCCACCGCGGTTCAATTTGGAGATGGCCAAGTCCATCCCCTGTAGCAGAGAAGAAACAAATTAGCAGCAAGTCTCATCATTTTGACATGTTTACAGGGGGAAAAAAAAGATTGGAAAGGCCAATATGATAGCATTAATCACCATAACTAGCAAAGCAAAAAACTGTAGTTCTCAATATCAGTGCTAAAAGGGATAAATCCAATAAAGGCATTTCGTCTGCTTTGGGGGAGGCTTAACTCAACGTAGAGCAATAAAATAATTCAAAAATATATAGAATACAAATTATATTCATGATAAACATAAACTATTTAAAAAAATATATTAATAAAACATTTGAACAAAATTTAAAGTATAATGTGCAGCTTGAAACTTAAATCAACAAAAGTAGCAAATACTGACTTAGCAAAATAAATGGACCGTGTGGAAGGACCATTAATCCACAACTAGAACTAAAAGTATATTCAAACAAAATGAACCAACAACCTCTTCAAGAGTCTTGCTTGATTTTAAAAGAATATAAATCTGGAGAAAAGAAGAAAATCGCAGACACACAAGAACAACAAAAGGAAAAATATAACCGAAAACCTGATTCTTATAGATTCCTCAGATCTCAGACAGAGAACTTGATTGCTTAAAAAGGAAAAGGGAGGAATTATGTGTCATATGTTCCTTGTCACTGGAAACTTCAATAGGGAGGGGTTTATCACAGTTCATGTAGGCGGCTAGGGCACACGCTTCACTTGTTCTCTTCCCTGTTCTCCAGTTTTATTTTATTTTATTTAATTGAATTTTTAAAGATGGGTTCTGTTCAAAATAGTCCAGAAACTCCTTAAAATGCTCTACGCTAATAAAATACCAGCCCAGGTAGTTGAGGCCAAAATAGAAAGCCTAGTAACGGCAAGATAAGAGTGCATTATGCCTAGGTACAGTTGAGGCATGAAGCTAGAGAAATTGCACTCAAACCTTCGAGGCTATTATTGAAGGCTTAACATGAGTCACAGCTTAAAGTGTAACTCTTAAGCTCCGGTGCTTTTTAAACAACACTTAAGGTTAAACAAAGATGAAAACTAAAAGAGTGAACAATCATGTGGATCCAGTAAACAAGCCATTAGTTCATAAAGTTGCAATCTAAGCAGCTAAAATCCTTAGTGATAATTCCAGAGATTCAACTAAAGCATGAACCAAAGCTTTGTGTCCACTGACGACAGTTGATGTATTGGTAAGCTACAGAATAAAGTATGGCATAGGATCTCAAATTTAAGATTGATGGTGTGCAAGGACTAAGGAATAAATGAAATGACCTAACTCCCAAAAAGAGTAAAAATTAAAAAAATAAAAGACCAATGCGCATCCAATAAACACAATCCATTAGCTCATAAAGTTTGGTTTAACAAGACCATTAATTGATTATAAAATATGTAAAATATTACATCCACAGTAAGCGTGAAATCACAAATGAATATAAAAACCTATTTGATCTCCACTATCTAAAAACTCATTTTCAACCATACATTCTTCCAATAAAATAATTTTGCATGTAAACCTAAAATGTTTTCCTACTTTTACCATTACAAAACTCATTTATAAAAAAATAGGGCTCAAACATGAGCAAACCACATTTATGAAAAAAAGATAAATTCACCAATCATAATCAGATATATCTGCTCATTTGTACATCAGAACGGTGGATAGTTATAAGATTTGCATGCAAAATGATCTTATAGATCAAAGAAAATTGAAACAAGTCGAAATTTATCACTTAATGCAGGATGATAGAGCAGATAAAGAAGTGAAAAATAATACCTTCTGGTAAATCCCATCACCACGAGAAACTGGCAGAACTTTGACATACTTGAAGAATGCAGATGTAACTGGATTTTGGAAACATCGATCAGATGCACAGAGCGTCCACCTCAAGCTATGAGCATTTAGTAGCATGCTAGGAGGAAGTAGTGAAGCAATAATTAGAGGATCATCCATGGCAGCAACATGATTGCTCACCTGCAATGAATTGAATCGGTCAGCTCTAAAATATGATTCACCTATGAGAACAAGAAGTTCGTGTGAGCAATACAGTGAAAACTGAAAAGGCAGAAAAAATGCGGAAAGAAAAAGGAAGAAATATGTAATTCACAATCAGTGTGTCCAAGAGATGTTGCCTACCGTAATCAGTGGCTTGTTTTCTGGCCTGTGAAGAAGGGCCTGGTGTAAGTTTTCAGCACCGTATATCTGGAACACTAACAAAGTCAATTCATCATATGTCTAAAAATATCTCCAGAGAAGAAGAGTTAGAGATTGCCAAACAAGGTATTTGGATTACCTGAACCTTGTTAAGGCCATGCATAAAAACGTAGCAAACATTTCCAATAACAGGAACAGCCACAGCTTGGAGCATACAAGTCAAGACTGAGTCAGCATCTGCATCAATGTCCTTGCTGACTGCATTACAAAATTAATTAAGTATTTACTACTGCTATGTAGTGCAGAAGATTTCTTGGAGGGAACCCATTTCAGATAAACTCCAGAAAACAAAAAAATAAATCAAGAATGCCTATTACGGGTGTTATGGACCATACAAACAAATGACAGGACTGTTGACCACCATTTTCGAGACTAGACAGAAACTGAATTTAAGTGTGCTAAATCAATATGTTATAGATAGGCACGTAAATTGTTTAAGAAGGCATAATGTTCATTATTTATGTTTTAAAAAGGTATAATGTCATCTTTAACATGGGTGCTCCTACATCCTGTGGAAGAAAGCGTGCCAAATGGGTTAGATTACAGCCAAAAGAAAACCTTTTTCAAAACTGGAATAAACGTTTGGCGAGCTAGCTTGAGGTGAAACTGTTCAAGTCTGAGATCAAGAAAATTTATAATCACTAAGTACAAAGAGTTACTCTTACTGATCGTAGGACAACAAGAGTAACAACTACAGGTCTAAAATGCCCAATTGAAGGCATTACAAATACGATAAAGCATCGAAAAGATCAAAAGAAGCCTTCAAAATTTGCGCGATACCACTTCCAAAAGTCATGCAAACTCGTATTAGCTGAGTTTGTTTATCTGTGCACACTGGACAGCAGTAAAAAAAGGGCAGCACATTCTAATGCAATGCTATAAACTAGTTTCAACGCATCAAATTTCTAGGTCGGGTGCTTCTTTTATTTGACAGTCTAAAAGTTTAAGATAAGGTGCCACTAGAAAATTGGAAAACTATATCTTAAATACAGTCTGATGCTGGCCCTTTGGATTTCCATTAACAATAAAGAGTGAAAGATATAATCATGACTAAGCTGTAGAAATAGACGAGTAAGAGATGGTGCAAACTAGGCACAAAAGCTCCACATTTAAATAAAAGAAGAGATTATAATAGCTTCCTTAGTTCCCTTTCAATAGCTTCTCTCTCTAATCAATAACACACTATCCACAAATAAAATCATATTTTACCAATCAAATGTAGGAAAAGGCATACTGATGATCTTTCATTGTGTTTCTTATGATAAAATCAACTTTGTTTCAGGAGTAACTTGCACTGATTAAACCTAGCCCTTGAATAGTATGAAAAGCTTGAACTACAAAGAAGAGTAGACTCTCAACCTCCTAGAACCTCCTTTCATATATAACAATCTTGAGGCACAATCTATAGATAATGCTTCCATCCAATAAAGATAGGCTTGAGCTTTCCTTTTTCATCAGTCACAAAATATTCACTTTTCTTGTTAAGAGTATAGTTAATTTCTTAATTTCTAATATGTCCCTATTTAATGAGCCAGCTTATTAATAAATATGAACTACCATTATTCAATGTAGGGATGTATTAGAAAAAATGTAAGTAATATTTCACAATTCCAACTATATTAATTAGGTTTTCTTAATCTGTGCGAAACTAGCATATCTTGTTAGACGGATGAAGTATGTGCTTAACTAACACACTTAGTCTGCCTCAAAAATTATCTCTGTAGTCACAACCTGAGCTTTGGATGGATTTTGAATCAAAAATTATAATTTTACTTTGATATATCCAGAAAATTTAGCCATGGCCTTCCTAACCATCAACCAAGCAAGCAGCAACACCAAAAGTTTAGAATATGAATAACTACTCTTCCATCACTCCCCATGGGAATAAAGAGTTATTTCCTTCCTCTAGAAAGAGACATATTGTCCAAGTCAGAAGACGAAATCCATTTCCACTGTCTTTCTTTGTTCACCGGTGAAGATCAATTTTTATATCTATAATCCATTTTCATAAAACTACAATAGTTCTATCATCATTTAACAAATGCATGAATTACCAATCTGCTAATATGATTGTATCATTTTACGTAAGGGAGAGATTATCTTTTCCACACATGCAATAAAGAAGTATATAATAAACGTAACACACGTCACTAATTACAATACATTAATATTGACATATGAATGTATGTAGAGTAATTAGGGGCTGTGCTCACCGCTTTTACGGTAAAAAGTGGAAGAAGAAGGCAGCGAATGATGACGGAAATCCCGGAACCGGTCTAACCAGCGCCTGATGGTGGACGAGAAGTAGTCAGTGGTGGAAAGCCTTAGGTTCTGAAAATTCGGCCGGCGGTGTTGGGCCACCGCCACTCTGAACCGGTCCCTTAGACGCAGCTTCAGCAATCGAGCCCTATCCTTCCACAGATCTCCCTTGCATTCTATCCACCGCTCCACCGCCATATTTAATACTCACAAATACCCAAATACACAGTGTGATCTATTGAATTAAATCATTCAAATTCAAATGCTCAAAAATCTTGATTTTCCGTTTTCACAATTAATTTATACATAGATCGCAAAACATGTTGATATAAATGTGAAAATGTAATGTTTATACAGATCCTCCGTTTGTGCAGAGAAAGTAGCGCTGCGCGAGTGTAGAGATGGAGAACGGAAAAAGAAGTGTTGTTGCTAGGGTGCCGAGTGGGTGCGCGTCTTGTCAAATGGATAATCGTAATTCTCCCACAAATATCTTTGTGGGGTCAATAATACACGTGGCATATAGAAACTAATAGAGGCCCCAAAATTTGTAGGATACGTAGCAGAACGGATCCATTTGGGCCATTGAAGATCCGGTTCTAGAACAATCGTCGGTCAGATCGGGAATCGGCAACTCGTAATTTGGTTAAGACAGTAAGCCCATGTTTGGTTAGCCCTTGTTTGAGCCCCATTTTGAGGGGAAAAATGAATTTTTGAATAGTGTATTGATGTGAAATGTGTGTTTAAAAAATAAAGAAAATTTTTGGATTTAAGTGTAATATTATATTATTGAAAAATGTGTGGTTGAAATTATGTCAAAATACTGTAGAAGAATTCATTTTCTCCAAAGAATGGGGATCAAACAAGGGCTTAGACTTTGGATAAAATTATATTTTTGGAATAATTGTACCAAAATTTTCAAATTTTTGAAAGACTAGTAATTTTTTTTCTAAAACTGTCACGTCTAACATTTCAAGCATTACAGATAAAGCCCTTTTGAATACTTTTCATCCATAATTCTATCAATGGACCAAATTTTGAGCACATTTGAACACTTAAAAAAAAAAAAAAAAAAAACC